ACTGACGGACCCTGAGAGTGACTGACGAGTCGTGAGGGTGACTGACGGACCCTGAGGGTGACTGACAGACCCTGAGGGTGACTGACGACCCCTGAGGGTGACTGACGGACCCTGAGGGTGACTGACGAGTCGTGAGGGTGTCTGACGACCCCTGAGGGTGACTGACGGACCCTGAGGGTGACTGACGGACCCTGAGGGTGACTGACGGACCCTGAGGGTGACTGACGGACCCTGAGGGTGACTGACGAGTCGTGAGGGTGACTGACGACCCCTGAGGGTGACTGACGACCCCTGAGGGTGACTGACGAGTCGTGAGGGTGACTGACGGACCCTGAGGGTGACTGACGAGTCGTGAGGATGACTGACGGACCCTGAGGGTGACTGACGAGTCGTGAGGGTGACTGACGACCCCTGAGGGTGTCTGAGGACCACTGAGGGTGACTGACGACCCCTGAGGGTGACTGACGACCTCTGAGGGTGACTGACGGACCCTGAGGGTGACTGACGGACCCTGAGGGTGACTGACGAGTCGTGAGGGTGACTGACGACCCCTGAGGGTGACTGACGACCCCTGAGGGTGACTGACGAGTCGTGAGGGTGACTGACGGACCCTGAGGGTGACTGACGAGTCGTGAGGGTGACTGACGGACCCTGAGGGTGACTGACGAGTCGTGAGGGTGACTGACGACCCCTGAGGGTGACTGACGACCCCTGAGGGTGACTGACGAGTCGTGAGGGTGACTGACGGACCCTGAGGGTGACTGACGAGTCGTGAGGGTGACTGACGGACCCTGAGGGTGACTGACGAGTCGTGAGGGTGACTGACGACCCCTGAGGGTGTCTGAGGACCACTGAGGGTGACTGACGACCCCTGAGGGTGACTGACGACCTCTGAGGGTGACTGACGGACCCTGAGGGTGACTGACGGACCCTGAGGGTGACTGACGAGTCGTGAGGGTGACTGACGACCCCTGAGGGTGACTGACGACCCCTGAGGGTGACTGACGACTCGTGAGGGTGACTGACGGACCCTGAGGGTGACTGACGAGTCGTGAGGGTGACTGACGGACCCTGAGGGTGACTGACGAGTCGTGAGGGTGACTGACGACCCTGAGGGTGTCTGAGGACCACTGAGGGTGACTGACGACCCCTGAGGGTGACTGACGACCTCTGAGGGTGACTGACGGACCCTGAGGGTGACTGACGGACCCTGAGGGTGACTGACGGACCCTGAGGGTGACTGACGACCCCTGAGGGTGACTGACGACCACTGAGGGTGACTGATGGAACCTGAGGGTGACTGACGACCCCTGAGGGTGACTGACGACCCCTGAGGGTGACTGACGACCACTGAGGGTGACTGACGGACCCTGAGGGTAACTGACGGACCCTGAGGGTGACTGACGACCCCTGAGGGTGACTGACGACCCCTGAGGGTGACTGACGGACCCTGAGAGTGACTGACGGACCCTGAGAGTGACTGACGACCCCTGAGGGTGACTGACGACCCTGAGGATGACTGATGGACCCTGAGAGTGACTGACGGACCTGAGAGTGACTGATGGACCCTGAGAGTGACTGACGGACCCTGAGGGTGACTGACGACCCCTGAGGGTGACTGACGACCCCTGAGGGTGACTGACGACCCCTGAGGGTGACTGACGACCCCTGAGAGTGACTGACGACCTCTGAGGGTGACTGACGACCCCTGAGGGTGACTGACGACCCCTGAGGGTGACTGACGGACCCTGAGAGTGACTGATGGACCCTGAGAGTGACTGACGGACCCTGAGAGTGACTGATGGACCCTGAGGGTGACTGACGGACCCTGAGAGTGACTGATGGACCCTGAGGGTGACTGACGGACCCTGAGAGTGACTGATGGACCCTGAGGGTGACTGACGACCCCTGAGGGTGACTGACGACCACTGAGGGTGACTGACGGACCCTGAGGGTGACTGACGGACCCTGAGGGTGACTGACGGACCCTGAGGGTGACTGACGGACCCTGAGGGTGACTGATGGACCCTGAGGGTGACTGACGGACCCTGAGAGTGACTGATGGACCCTGAGGGTGACTGACGGACCCTGAGAGTGTCTGACGACCCCTGAGGGTGACTGACGACCCCTGAGGGTGACTGACGACCCCTGAGGGTGACTGACGACCCCTGAGGGTGACTGACGACCCCTGAGGGTGACTGACGACCCCTGAGGGTGACTGATGGACCCTGAGGGTGACTGACGGACCCTGAGGGTGACTGACGGACCCTGAGGGTGACTGACGGACCTTGAGAGTGACTGATGGACCCTGAGGGTGACTGACGGACCCTGAGGGTGACTGACGGACCCTGAGGGTGACTGACGGACCCTGAGGGTGACTGACGGACCCTGAGGGTGACTGACGACCCCTGAGGGTGACTGACGGACCCTGAGGGTGACTGACGGACCCTGAGGGTGACTGATGGACCCTGAGGGTGACTGACGGACCCTGAGGGTGACTGATGGACCCTGAGGGTGACTGACGGACCCTGAGAGTGACTGATGGACCCTGAGGGTGACTGACGGACCCTGAGAGTGTCTGACGACCCCTGAGGGTGACTGACGACCCCTGAGGGTGACTGACGACCCCTGAGGGTGACTGACGACCCCTGAGGGTGACTGATGGACCCTGAGAGTGACTGACGGACCCTGAGGGTGACTGACGGACCCTGAGGGTGACTGACGGACCCTGAGGGTGACTGACGGACCCTGAGGGTGACTGACGGACCCTGAGGGTGACTGACGGACTTAGAGTGACTGACGGACCCTGAGGGTGACTGACGGACCCTGAGGGTGACTGACGGACCCTGAGAGTGACTGACGGACCCTGAGGGTGACTGACGGACCCTGAGAGTGACTGACGGACCCTGAGAGTGACTGACGGACCCTGAGGGTGACTGACGGACCCTGAGGGTGACTGACGGACCCTGAGGGTGACTGACGAGTCGTGAGGGTGACTGACGACCCCTGAGAGTGACTGACGACCCCTGAGGGTGACTGACGGACCCTGAGGGTGACTGACGGACCCTGAGGGTGACTGACGGACCCTGAGGGTGACTGACGACCCCTGAGGGTGACTGACGGACCCTGAGGGTGACTGACGAGTCGTGAGGGTGACTGACGGACCCTGAGGGTGACTGACGAGTCGTGAGGGTGACTGACGACCCCTGAGGGTGTCTGAGGACCACTGAGGGTGACTGACGACCACTGAGGGTGACTGACGACCCCTGAGGGTGACTGACGACCACTGAGGGTGACTGACGACCCCTGAGGGTGACTGACTGACCCTGAGGGTGACTGACGGACCCTGAGGGTGACTGACGACCCCTGAGGGTGACTGACGACCCCTGAGGGTGACTGATGGAACCTGAGGGTGACTGACGGACCCTAAGGGTGACTGACGACCTCTGAGGGTGACTGACGACCCCTGAGGGTGACTGACGACCCCTGAGGGTGACTGACGACCCCTGAGGGTGATGGACCCTGAGGGTGACTGACGGACCCTGAGAGTGACTGACGGACCCTGAGGGTGACTGACGACCCCTGAGGGTGACTGACGACCCCTGAGGGTGACTGACGACCCCTGAGGGTGACTGACGACCCCTGAGGGTGACTGACGACCCCTGAGGGTGACTGATGGACCCTGAGGGTGACTGATGGACCCTGAGGGTGACTGACGACCCCTGAGAGTGACTGACGACCCTGAGGGTGACTGACGACCCCTGAGGGTGACTGATGGACCCTGAGGGTGACTGACGGACCCTGAGGGTGACTGACGGACCCTGAGGGTGACTGACGACCCCTGAGAGTGTCTGACGACCCCTGAGGGTGACTGACGACCCCTGAGGGTGACTGATGGACCCTGAGAGTGACTGACGGACCCTGAGGGTGACTGACGGACCCTGAGGGTGACTGACGACCCCTGAGAGTGTCTGACGACCCCTGAGGGTGACTGATGGACCCTGAGGGTGACTGACGACCCCTGAGGGTGACTGACGACCCCTGAGGGTGACTGATGGACCCTGAGGGTGACTGACGGACCCTGAGGGTGACTGACGACCCTGAGGTGACTGACGACCCCTGAGGGTGACTGACGACCCCTGAGAGTGACTGACGGACCCTGAGGGTGACTGATGGACCCTGAGGGTGACTGATGGACCCTGAGAGTGACTGACGGACCCTGAGGGTGACTGACGACCCCTGAGGGTGACTGACGGACCCTGAGGGTGACTGACGACCCCTGAGGGTGACTGACGACCCCTGATAGTGACTGACGACCCCTGATAGTGACTAGCGACCCCTGAGGGTGACTGACGACCCTGATAGTGACTGACGACCCCTGATAGTGACTAGCGACCCCTGAGAGTGACTGACGACCCCTGATAGTGAGTAACGACCCCTGAGAGTGACTGACGACCGCTGATAGTGCCTGACGACCCCTGATAGTGACTAACGAGTGGTGATAGTGACTGACGGACCCTGAGAGTGACTGACGGACCCTGAGAGTGACTGACGACCCCTGATAGTGAGTAACGACCCCTGACAGTGACGACCCCTGAGAGTGACTAACGACCCCTGATAGTGACTAACGAGTGGTGATAGTGACTGACGGACCCTGAGAGTGACTGACGGACCCTGAGAGTGACTGACGACCCCTGATAGTGAGTAACGACCCCTGAGAGTGACTGACGACCGCTGATAGTGCCTGACGACCCCTGATAGTGACTAACGAGTGGTGATAGTGACTGACGGACCCTGAGAGTGACTGACGGACCCTGAGAGTGACTAACGACCCCTGATAGCGACTAACTACCCCTGATAGTGACTAACGAGTGGTGATAGTGACTGACGGACCCTGAGAGTGACTGACGGACCCTGACAGTGACTGACGACCCCTGACAGTGACTGACGACCCCTGATAGTGACTAACTACCCGTGATAGTGACTGACCTGTATAATGAAGGGTGCCAATGTCCCGCGGGGGGCGCTCTCCGTCGTCCTTGGGGCGGTGGGAGGGGGAGAGGGCGGGGGAGGCGGTGGCGGAGGCCATGGTGTGGTAGCTGAGGTACTGCTCCATGCTGCTGCTCCGCTCCTGACTTAAACTGAGGCTGGCGGGCGGGGGGCGGCGCGCTCTCAGCGTGGGCGGGGGCCTATTAGCGCCGGGGGCTGGGAGCGGGGGCTGATTGGTGGGGGGGTCGAGGGTGGGCGGGGTCTGAGGCAGGGAGCGCGACGTTGTATCTGGGGGGGAGGGGGGCGGTGAAGGGGGGCAGGCGCGGTGCTCGGGAGACGGTGCGGGGGCCGCAGCCAGGCAGGGAGACTCGTGCGGCAGAGACGACACCGCCACAGTGACACGCAAGAGGCTCCAAGTTTTCCTGGTGGCGACCATCTTAGCGGCTAATCGGCACACGGCCCTCTCGGCGGGGTTCCGGCCAATCACGGACCCGGAGTCAATTACTTCCCCGGCGATCGGCCAATCCCGCGCGTCTTTCCCTAGGTGGGGTAGCCAATAGCGTGGACCCCCTGCTAGGGTGGGCAGGGCCTCGCTGCGCGACAGTCGAGTGCGCAGGTCACCGCCCCGGGAACCTGAGCGCCCTCAACCAATGAGAGGCCGCAGGGGGCGGAGCTCCGGGGCTACGTCACAGGTCAGACAGCCACTCACAGCACGCCACCTTTTGATCGAGCTTCCCCCTAACCCAAGCCAGCAGGGCGAAGGAAGTCAAACCGCCAAATTTGCTTCCCAATCCTTCTTACACCTCCAAAGACGGCTCAGAATACCGTATTAGCCGTGACACGTCATCGCGGGCCACTATCGACCTTCTTACTCCCTCACCGACGGCTCAAAGTGCCATATTAACTGAGCCTCGGCGCCGAGAGCCGGTATCGACCGTTAACAACCGGTTACAAAGTCCATCAGTGACGTCATCAGATTTTGAATGTGGGTGTGGCCAACGTCACAGTTACGTCATCAACAGGCGATGACGTCACAGTTATGCTACGCTGAGTTGTGTATACTGAGACTCCCGGGTACCACTACCATACTCCCGGGTACCACTACCATACTCCCGGGTACCTGTACCATACTCCCGGTACCTGTACCATACTCCCGGGTACCTGTACCATACTCCCGGTACCTGTACCATACTCCCGGTACCTGTACCATACTCCCGGTACCTGTACCATACTCCCGGTACCTGTACCATACTCCCGGGTACCTGTACCATACTCCCGGTACCTGTACCATACTCCCGGTACCACTACCATACTCCCGGTACCTCTACCATACTCCCGGTACCTGTACCATACTCCCGGGTACCACTACCATACTCCCGGTACCTGTACCATACTCCCGGTACCTGTACTATACTCCCGGTACCTGTACCATACTCCCGGGTACCACTACCATACTCCCGGGTACCACTACCATACTCCCGGGTACCTGTACCATACTCCCGGTACCTGTACCATACTCCCGGTACCTGTACCATACTCCCGGGTACCTGTACCATACTCCCGGGTACCTGTACCATACTCCCGGTACCACTACCATACTCCCGGGTACCTCTACCATACTCCCGGTACCTGTACCATACTCCCGGGTACCTCTACCATACTCCCGGGTACCTCTACTATACTCCCGGTACCTGTACCATACTCCTGGTACCTGTACCATACTCCCGGTACCTGTACCATACTCCCGGTACCTGTACCATACTCCCGGTACCTGTACCATACTCCCGGTACCTCTACCATACTCCCGATACCTGTACCATACTCCCGGTACCTGTACCATACTCCCGGTACCTGTACCATACTCCCGGTACCTGTACCATACTCCCGGTACCTGTACCATACTCCCGGGTACCTGTACCATACTCCCGGTACCTGTACCATACTCCCGGTACCACTACCATACTCCCGGTACCTGTACCATACTCCCGGGTACCACTACCATACTCCCGGTACCTGTACCATACTCCCGGGTACCACTACCATACTCCCGGTACCTGTACCATACTCTTGGTACCTGTACCATACTCCCGGTACCTGTACTATACTCCCGGGTACCACTACCATACTCCCGGTACCTGTACCATACTCCCGGTACCTGTACCATACTCCCGGGTACCACTACCATAATCCCGGTACCTGTACCATACTCCTGGTACCTGTACCATACTCCCGGCACCTGTACCATACTCCCGGGTACCACTACCATACTCCCGGTACCTGTACCATACTCCCGTACCTGTACCATACTCCCGGGTACCACTACCATACTCCCGGTACCTGTACCATACTCCTGGTACCTGTACCATACTCCCGGTACCTGTACTATACTCCCGGTACCTGTACCATACTCCCGGTACCTGTACCATACTCCCGGTACCTGTACCATACTCCCGGTACCTGTACCATACTCCCGGTACCTGTACCATACTCCCGGTACCTGTACCATACTCCGGGTACTTGTACCATACTCCCGGGTACCTGTACCATACTCCCGGGTACCTGTACCATACTCCCGGTACCTGTACCATACTCCCGGTACCTGTACCATACTCCCGGTACCAGTACCATACTCCCGGGTACCTGTACCATACTCCCGGTACCTGTACCATACTCCCGGTACTTGTACCATACTCCCGGGTACCTCTACCATACTCCCGGTACCTCTACCATACTCCCGGTACCACTACAATACTCCCGGCAGCGGCCGGGATCGAACCAGGTCCCAGGGATTACGAGTCCCAAACGCTGTCCATTCAGCCATGCTGCCTGGTATAGTCTAGAGAGCATTGTGAGGTGTTGACTTTGGCCGTGGGAGGGTCAGGCACCTTTATGTCTGGCCTGCTACGCTTCCCTCTCACCCTTCCCTCTCACCCTTCCCTCTCACCCTTCCCTCTCACCCTTCCCTCTCACCCTTCCCTTCCCTCTCACCCTTCCCTCTCACCCTTCCCTCTCACCCTTCCCTTCCCTCTCACCCTTCCCTCTCACCCTTCCCTCTCACCCTTCCCTCTCACCCTTCCCTCTCACCCTTCCCTCTCACCCTTCCCTCTCACCCTTCCCTCTCACCCTTCCCTTCCCTCTCACCCTTCCCTCTCACCCTTCCCTCTCACCCTTCCCTTCCCTTCCCTCTCACCCTTCCCTCTCACCCTTCCCTTCCCCTCTCTTCCCTCTCCCTTCCCTCCCACCCTTCCCTTCCCTCTCACCCTTCCCTTCCCTCTCACCCTTCCCTCTCACCCTTCCCTCTCACCCTTCCCTTCCCTTCCCTCTCACCCTTCCCTCTCACCCTTCCTCTCACCCTTCCCTTCCCTTCCCTCTCACCCTTCCCTCTCTCCCTTCCCTTCCCTCTCACCCTTCCCTTCCCTCTCACCCTTCCCTCTCACCCTTCCCTTCCCTCTCACCCTTCCCTTCCCTCTCACCCTTCCCTCTCACCCTTCCCTTCCCTCTCACCCTTCCCTTCCCTCTCACCCTTCCCTCTCACCCTTCCCTTCCCTCTCACCCTTCCCTCTCTCCCTTCCCTTCCCTCTCACCCTTCCCTTCCCTCTCACCCTTCCCTTCCCTTCCCTTTCACCCTTCCCTTCCCTCTCACCCTTCCCTCTCACCCTTCCCTTCCCTTCCCTCTCACCCTTCCCTTCCCTCTCACCCTTCCCTTCCCTCTCACCCTTCCCTTCCCTCTCACCCTTTCCCTTCCCTCTCACCCTTCCCTTCCCTCTCACCCTTCCCTCTCACCCTTCCCTCTCACCCTTCCCTTCCTTCCCTCTCACCCCTTCCCTTCCCTCTCACCCTTCCCTTCCCTCTCACCCTTCCCTCTCACCCTTCCCTCTCACCCTTCCCTCTCACCCTTCCCTTCCCTTCCCTCTCACCCTTCCCTTCCCTCTCACCCTTCCCTTCCCTCTCACCCTTCCCTTCCCTCTCACCCTTCCCTTCCCTCTCACCCTTCCCTTCCCTCTCACCCTTCCCTTCCTCTCACCCTTCCCTTCCCTCTCACCCTTCCCTCTCTCCCTTCCCTTCCCTCTCACCCTTCCCTTCCCTTCCCTCTCACCCTTCCCTCTCACCCTTCCCTTCCTCTCACCCTTCCCTTCCCTCTCACAATTCCCTCTCACCCTTCCCTTCCCTCTCACAATTCCCTCTAACCCTTCCCTCTCACCCTTCCCTTCCCTCTCACAATTCCCTCTCACCCTTCCCTTCCCTCTCACAATTCCCTCTAACCCTTCCCTTCCCTCTCACAATTCCCTCTCACCCTTCCCTTCCCTCTCACAATTCCCTCTAACCCTTCCCTTCCCTCTCACAATTCCCTCTAACCCTTCCCTCTCACCCTTCCCTTCCCTCCCCTACTTCCCTTCCTCCCCTCCCTTCTATCTCTCCCTTCCCTCCCTCCACCACAGGGAACACATGGCCCTGTGTGGGCCACCACGGGGGACACATGGCTCTGTGTGGGCCACCACGGGGGACACATGGCCCTGTGTGGGCCACCACGGGGGACACATGGCCCTGTGTGAGCCACCACGGGGGACACATGGCCCTGTGTGGGCCACCACGGGGGGACACATGGCCCTGTGTGAGCCACCACGGGGGGACACATGGCCCTGTGAGAGCCACCACGAGGGACACATGGCCCTGTGTGAGCCACCACGGGGGACACATGGCCCTGTGAGAGCCACCACGAGGGACACATGACCCTGTGTGATCCACCACGGGGGACACATGGCCCTGTGAGAGCCACCACGGGGGGACACATGGCCCTGTGAGAGCCACCACGGGGGACACACGGCCCTGTGTGGGCCACCACGGGGGACACATGGCCCTGTGTGAGCCACTACGGGGGACACACGGCCCTGTGTGAGCCACCACGGGGGACACATGGCCTGTGTGAGCCACCACGGGGGACACATGGCCCTGTGTGGGCCACCACGGGGGACACATGGCCCTGTGTGGGCCACCACGAGGGACACATGGCCCTGTGTGAGCCACCACGAGGGACACATGGCCCTGTGTGAGCCACCACGGGGGACACATGGCCCTGTGTGAGCCACCACGGGGGACACATGGCCCTGTGTGGGCCACCACGGGGGACACATGGCCCTGTGTGAGCCACCACGGGGGACACATGGCCCTGTGTGAGCCACCACGAGGGACACACGGCCCTGTGAGAGCCACCACGAGGGACACACGGCCCTGTGTGAGCCACCACGGGGGACACATGGCCCTGTGTGGGCCACCACGGGGGACACATGGCCCTGTGTGAGCCACCACGAGGGGACACATGGCTCCTGTGAGAGCCACCACGGGGGACACATGGCCCTGTGTGAGCCACCACGAGGGACACATGGCCCTGTGAGAGCCACCACGGGGGACACATGGCCCTGTGTGGGCCACCACCAG